AACATCCTACAGGAAGAAAGCAAAAGGTCATTAAGCAGACAAGAAAGAAGAAAAAGATCAAAAGTGTATGACAGAAGAGACTTTGAAACATGCTCTGCAGCATAGAGATGTTAAAGCAAATGGAAGAAATGAGGAGGTAAAAATGCTGAAAAGAAAATTTCAAAGAGCCGCTCAAGAAGACAAAGTCAAATATAATAAAGTGTGCAAAGAACTGAAGTTAGAAAACTAAAAGTGAAGAATACACTCAGCATTTGTCAGGCTGAGGGAAGTGAAGAACAGATTCAAATCGCAACTTGAAATTATAAAGGATTCTATGGGCAAAACACTGAATGATGCAGAAAGCATCAAAAGAAGATGGAAGGAATGCACAGAGTAACTATATCAAAAAGAAATAGTCGAAGTTCAACCATTTCAAGAGGTAGCATATGATCAAGAGTTAATGAAACTTAAAGCATTGGCAAAGAACAAGGCCTCAGGAATTGACGGAATACGAACAGAAATCCATCAACAAACTGATGCAGCACTGGAGGCACTCACTAATCTATGCCAAGAAATATGGAAGACAGCTACCTGACCAACTGATTCTAAGAGATTCATATTCATGCCCATTCCAAAGAAAAGTGACTCAACAGAATTAAAAAATCATTGGACAGTATCATTAATATCGCATGCAAGTAAAATTTTGCTAAAAACAATTTTAAAATGGCTGCAGCAGTACATTGAAAGGGAACTGCCAGTACATCAAGCCAGATTCAGATGAGGATGTGGAACAAGGGGTATCAGATGGATCTTGGCTGAAAGCAGAGAGTACCAAAAAGATGCTTACTGTGCTTTATTGACTATACAAAGGCTTTCAACAGTGTGTATCATGACAAACTACAGGTAACATTGAGGAGAATGAGTATTCTAGAACACTTAATTGTGCTCATGTTGTTGTAGTTGTTGTTGTTGTTAAGTGCCATTGAGTCAGTTCCAACCCATAGCGACCCTGTACAGAGTTTCCTAGGAG